TTGTGTTTTTGTTTAGCGGGAAATTAGGAGAAACCCTAGATTCTATGGAGAAGACAACTCAGAATACTGAATACATATCGCTTTTTTAATTTCTATTTTGGGCTATTTCATCTTCTCCTATATATTACATACTATTTTGTTAAGGAAATTTGGCCTAACAAATTTGCATGAGGTTGAAGGTTTTTGATCCAACGGCCACAAAATGGAGTTGTTTTGTTTGTTGCTATGACAATGTCCCACGTAGGATCTTTGTGTCGGAGATCGTGGATCCCACTTTCTCTATCTAATCATCCGTACGAACATTATGATCCCAAGACTCTTCTTTCTAAGTTCAAGTCTCCCACAAAGTACCTAGGCAGATAGCATTAAGATCATTAGAAATAATATTTGTCTTACACATAAGGAATTAACAATTACCGCATTAGACACTAACATAAAGATATTGATATCAACTAAAACTATAAGTCTAAATGGGTTGTTTTTAGACCAAGATTAAGAATAAAATAAAAACGAAATGATTGTTCATATAATTAGTATTTCTCTTCCACAATTGCAATCTCTTGTGTTTCAACATGAAGAGGATGGATGTAGCCTGAGAACCCACAACGATAATAATTAATTAAATCACTTGGAAAATATATAGGCTGATTCAACATAATTGCGAGTAAAACGACCGTTTAAGGTTTCACATGTTCTAAACGTCATTTTAAATTGAAAAAAAAAAACATTTACACAAAAAAAAAACATATGAGAAAAGATTTTTCGCACAAAATATCCGGAAAATTTTGGATTGACCATGGGACTCTTCACTCTTGAGTTACAAAACAAAACTTGTTATCCTTCTTTATGTTGTGTTACAAAACTTACGTGGTCTTGTGTCTACTTCGATATATTGGATAGATAGTATGTCTTACATGAGATGTACCTACTTTTTGGTGGATATTCTACTTTGATCTAATACAACATGAATTGGCAAATAAAGATAAAAGCTTATAAAAGACCAAGTAACCTATATCGAATCTTTAATTTCAAATGGAGCTCCATATTGTTGCACGTATCCAAATGCAAGACCAGCCAAACCGGATTAAACCGGAAATAGAACTCTCTCACTCTCTCAATCTTTATCATTTATAACTCTAAACAGTAAAACCAGCTCAAAGAAGTCATAGGAACAAGCACGTGGCTCTGTACCTCTCTCTGCATGTAGCCATGGTGTTCATCATCCACCACTATACGTCAAAATCTGCCCCAAGTTTTTTTCATTTTCATTTTCACTTATCAGAAAGAAAAAAACAATTTCAATTTAGTTACCTCCTCTTTATCTTTCTTCTTCATTTCAATAGCCTAATCCC